GACCTAAGATCTCCACTTGCGGCATCCATGCGCTCACCAGGAAGTTCTCCGGCAGCTCGGGCAGGAGGCTTTGCTTCCTAAAATCGGCCGGTAGGTTTAGGGTTTAGGGTTTATAGGGCTTAGGAGAACTGAAGGAACGCGTGACACCGAACCGACCGTAAGTAAGATCCGAGTTGGACCCGCACATCTCTTTGAGATCGCTGTGGCAGCAAAAGATATTTCATTGAGTGGCTGACCGTTTCGATTTGCACCCTCTCCCTCCTGTACACATCCCCCTGAATAAGAGAAAAAAGGCAACCGCCAAAAACCCATGGTTCCGACCTGCTTCGGGATGTAACGACCTTCTGCATCTAAGGCGCTCCTTCTTCAGGGACCACATAACCCAGACGTCGCAGGCAGCAAAGCCGTGATACAAGGCCAAGACCTGCTTGTCCGTGAGATCCAGGAGGCTCCCGGTGGTGATGTAGAAGATGGGCTTCCTTGGTTTAGGGTTCAGGGAGCAGCGGAGGGGGTAACTGGGGTAGGTTTGGGGGACCCTATCTTTATGGCTTTATAAGGGCTATATAGGTGATTGAGGATAACCAAAATTAACGATTCTGGTCAAACCTAGCTTCGCCGCCGCACGCGCCTTGCGCAGCCAGGCGAGGATGTCCGCATGCTTGCTCTCCTGCAACGGCTTGGTCTCAAAGCTGTCGAGGGAGCCGGACCTCACTGGCACAGTCGCAACAGGCAGCTTCTTTCGACCACAAGAGCTCTCGACCAACAGCACTCCCATTTGCTATAGGTCAAATGATGTCAAGTGCCAGGATGGGCCATTATAGGCCCCTAGAACCCCCATAAGCAGCCCCAAAAAAGGCCCCCTTTTCTTTAAGGGTCATAGGGGGTCTAACTAGCCCACATCCTGGCATGTTCTGCTCCACAAAACAAAGCGCGTGCTCCTCGGGCCCGCGCAAGAAGAAGTTTGGCGGCAGCGGCTCCCGAGCGCCCAGGGCGCTGCAGTCGTTGACAATCGCCAGGGTTCGCTGCATGGCCGCAGCGGTCTTGCTTGCCATGAAGTCCTTGTAGTGGCCCGGAAACCATGTTACAAGAATTAAGGGGCACCCCCCTTTATTGGGGTTGGTTACTGGTTATAAGGGGACCTTGAAACAACAAAGGGGAAATGGGCACCGCTGGGCCGACCAAGAGTCCAAAGTTTCCGCGTCACCAGGCTTGATACGCTTGCCAAGGAAGAGCATCGCTGAGTTTTGGAGCATCATGAACGCCTGCACTGCGGTTGCAGGGATTGCCATGTTGATCACCAGTGGAATGCGCTTAGCCCGCGCGCTCGCAAAGCCTGCGCCGCTTGCAAAGTCCGAGAGTATCAGCGCAGGACGGATGCTCTCAAGCGCAGCCGTGAGAAGTGGAGTGTGACGTTGGCAGAACTCTTCGAATCGAGGATTCTTGCCGGCGTCTGGAGTTTTCAGCGCCTCCTCTGTCAATCCATCTTCCAGACCCTGGAAACGACAGCCGCTGTTGGAGCAAAGCACGCCAAGTTTCGGACCTAAAGCTGATGAAGTCAGGAAGACCACCTCGTGGCCACGGCTCGCCAAGGCGTTGCACAAGCGAAGGATAGGGTTGGCATGCCCCATCATGGGGATCGCATAGGCGGCCACAGTTTTTCTCTCGGTCGCCTTGTGCATTGTCGCAGATTTCATGCTGGCAGCCCCTCTCGGACAACCAGCTTGCTGACTAGAGTCTTGAGCATGGCTGCGGGGGCTCCACGAAAACAAGACAACACTAGTAGCGCAGATATTGATGGCGTTCCTTTTTGACCCACAAGAGGTTGCTAGCGACAACTTTTCAGGTAGCCTGGGGCGATGTCGCGCTGCGCTGGTGTGTCTCACTGATTGTACTGCTTGGGGTTCGACAGCTTGCTTTTCATTCTTTCTACCTCCCTTGTGTGACCACCTTAAACCCTAGAGCCTAAACCCTAAACCCTAAACCCTAAACCCTAAACCCTAAACCCTAAACCCTAAACCCTAAACCCTAAACCCTAAACCCTAAACCGTGATCCAGTCAAAGCCTTGAATCACGTGTGCCAAGCGCATTTTATCGCGGTGAATCATCCCGCGAAGCGGCATCCCAGCTTCTGCAGCAAAGGCAGAAGCTCGCCTCCGGAGGATATTCCCCTAGACTTAGGGTTTAGGGTTTAGGATTTAGGGTTTAGGGTTTGGGGTTTGGGGTTTAGGGTTTCGGGTTTAGGGCCAGGAGTTGAAGGCTCCAGTCCTCCCAAAGTCTGCAAGAAAAGAGGCGCTCTTTAGGCTTGAGGGGTTTAGGATGTTGTGCTTTGCTCGGTGAGTTACTAGTTGCTATTGCAAGGGGGGGCCTGCTTGTAAACGTCACATTGGTTCTAACATTGGTTCTAAACCTGAAGCTTTAAAGCCTTAATAAATCCTAACCGTTTAACCCCTGCACAACCCTAAACCCTTATCCGTAAACTCTCAATAAAACGTATCTTTGAAGCGCTGCTCAGGGCCCGGGGTCCCCAGTCAACCTTTGCCAACCAACTAACGGTCTTGGAGAACACCAAGGATTATACTTCGAGTTTCGAGTATAGGAACTATGATTTTATGGCCCTGTTACAAGTAGAACCAGCCAAAACCTACTAGAGATGTTCCAGAACGGGTCTGAAGCCCATGTGCCATGCATGCTGTTGCGGTTCTGGTGTTGAACGGAATGAAGAAACAAAAGACTCAGTCAGAGGGCTAAACCCTAAACCCCCTAAACCCTAAGCTGTCTTCGTCCAGCCTCGGCTGTGTAGATTGGAGATTTCCTGGCAGCCGCCGATGAACTGACCATTCACGAATGCCTGCACATCACTTGTAGAAAACACAACTCGCCTCACGAGTACAATGAACATAGGTTGTGGAAACTTCGCCTGTGGCCATCCCAAATTACTGACACATCCTGCGAAACGCAAGAGGCGCATCCATCCCCGAACTCTGAACTGTAAACGCCTGAAAGTCTGAAAAAGCACCGAAGCCCTTCTACCCCCTGTCACTGTGATCTCCTTCAGTTCTATATTATATAGGTATAGTTTCTTAAGAAGCTCAGATGGGGCCGCGTACTGCGGTTCTTTGATCAGATTGGGTTTAGGGTAGGATTTGGGGTTTGGGGTTTGGGGTTTTGGGGCTTTGGGGCTTTGGGGCTTTGGGGCTTGGGGTTTGGGGCTTGGGGTTCCACACCTTCAACCACCCAATCGTACTGGCTCTTGATAGGGAATTGGAGGGGAAATTAGGGCGCAGCCTATATCCCCGATTATGACCATTGAGGGGTTTCAATAGGGACTCCTCTTCTTGAGAGTGGCCTGCCCCCTACGGGTGCCTGCCTAATGCCATCCCCTGATATAGTCACACTATGCAAGCCACCACGCGGAACACCTCTCATCTTGCCTGTGGGACGGTGGAGGAGCCATAACGCATTCGCAGGACCTGGCCGAGTTCGCTCAGGGACCACAGGGTTTAGGGTTTACGGTTTAGGGTTTAGGGTTTAGGGCCTGCCGGAAATCGCAAGGCAACAGGAACCGTTGTTGGCGAACAGCCTTCACTTGCCGACTTGACTTCTGAGGTCGTTTGGGGGACTTGGGGATTGCCTGCTGAATGGGCCCATGGCGAGGCTGTCCCATCTGATCCTTGGATGATGTTTAGGGTTTAGGGTTTGGCGTCTGGGGTCTAACGTTTAGTTACATGCACAGTCCGACTACCTGCTGGAAGGCGCGCGCTGGGCAGGGAACAAAAAAGGAGCAACCCAGCAACGTTCTGCGGCTGTAGCGTGTATAGTAAGGGCCCCTACACCTTCCACCAAAAAGCTACACCCTAAACCGTACGCTGCAACCAACTGAATCTGGTTTTGGGCACCGGCAGTTGCCAATCCCAATCAGCCAGACTCAGTTGGGACTTCGGAAGCCCATGAGCCCAGCAGCGGGTTTAGGGTTTTTAGGGTTTAGGGTTTCTTGGGTTTCTTGGGTTTAGGGCTCTCAAGCCCAAAAAGACAACGTGTGGGATTTCTTGGCCAAAAAAAGTAGGGGGGGGGCGTAGACCCCAAACTAGTAAGATAGGAACCTCAAAACTGAGTACCCAAACTTTGGGAAGCCCCCAGGTGAGCGGATTGGGCCAACGATCCAGGACATGGCGCCAACTCAATCACGTGCATCGCCGGTGTTGGGCGCAGGCTGTTCAAAATCTCTTTGGCCTGCCATCGCAGGGGTTGAGGCTTTCGGCTTCCAAGCGTAGGATTGACAACTTTGAAAATACGAACCCTCCCCCCTCACCCCCCAACCCTGAACCCCTTAATTCTTCAGTTGAACCTACGAACCCCCCCTCACCCCCCAACCCTGAACCCCTTAATTCTTCCGTTGTGCAACAGGGCAGAGACTTGAGGACCTGGGGAGGGCCCGGCCAAACAACTAGAGGAAGGCCCAGGGTTTAGGGGTTCAGGGGTAGTATTGTAAAAAGGGCTGATCATACACCTAAACCCTAAACCCGAAACCCGAAACCCTAAACCCCCCCGCGCCCAACTCCCTGGCTGAAGGCAAGCAGTTCTTTTTGTGCCTGGGTTGGCATCACGGACAGAAGATGCCCTTGACTTGCTAGGAGTCTGCAAGGGCTGAGGGTTTGTCGGGCCACAAGCACGTCAAGTGGACATGGGTTCCCTCAGCTTGAGGAGCGAAACGATATTCACAGAATGGCCACCTACCTCTCGCTGCCGCGGCTTTCTCTTGAGCCTTCAGTGTCTTCAGCTTTTTCTTTGCCATCGCTTCGAGGCCTCGAAGGCGTTGCACAGTAAAGCAGCAGTGCCTCGCTTGCGTGGCGCGAAATTGCGAGTCAAATCGCGAACTCCAAAAAGCGCGGAACCGCGGAGCCCTGGGCTAGCCATAGCAGGCTCTCGGGATCTTGCAATCTTGTGACCTTCGTCATGAGATGAGCTGCAAAACGACTAATTCTCGGTCGTTCTCAGGTGTTGCCATTCAGGTGGCAGGAGACCCCATGTTGAATGGGCCAGAATATCGACGAGCCCACTGCCAAGACGAAAGACCGCATCGCAACCCCACGGAAGAAAGCGAAAACACCTTCCGTCTTCAACATGTGGCGTCCCACCTGGAGGATGGACCTGGAGGGGGTGGCGCTGGCCTTGATTCGCGTATTCACAACATCCAGGGGGCAGGTAAGAACCCCACAAGCAACGCCCGAGGCGATACCGCAGATGGCCGCGCCCTGTGCGCCCAGGGCTTCCTTGCTCGAGAGTCCGTTCCAAGCCCTCCACTGCGAGACAAAGGCCTCATAAAAACCGATCTTCACACCTGCGAACGGGATGTCCTTGACCAAGTTGACGTGCCAGCCGGCAAAGAGTCCTCGCCAGCCCTGCTCTGACAAGATGTGTGAGAAAGCCTTGGCGACATTGGGGTCGATGCCCAAGACCAGGCGCTTCTTCAGGACGTCAGCGGGGACTCCCACGAGTGTCGCTGGAACTGCGCAGGCAGCCGCTGCGAAAGGAAGCAGGGCGTCCTGCTTTTGCTCCAGGAGCTTTGTTTTGACTAGGGCGAAACAGAAGAAGAAGGACCCGAAGATGGGAACGGACCCCAGGGTGATTGTAGGCACGAGGCCTCTGAAGAGGATCTTCCAGCCCCCGGACGCGGCAGGCGTTGTTTGGGCACGAACCTTTGCCGAGTCCACGGCGTACAAGACCGAGTCTGCCACGACTCCCGCACAGGCGCCCCCCAAAGCCTCGGACGTGGCCGTCTGCAACAAGGGGCCCATGGCGAGCTTCTCAAAGGGAAATTCGGGAATTTAGGTACTTGTGCCCTCCTATATATGGTACCTAATTCCGATTCCCTACTAAGGCACAAGAAGAGAGTCCTGGAACGAATCTTACCACCGAGCACTGACCGTGCGAAAAAGCAAACCCCCCAGGGTTCATGCGATCATAGGGAAGCGATGCAATGACCATGAAGCTAATATCGCAAGTGTGCATGAGCTGTGCAGTGCTTCCTGGCTTGCAGCAAGGCACATGCACGGCCCCCAAGTTGGGCCATCTGATTTCTCAGGGCACCTCAAACCCTATACTTGTGATCCCAGGAAGCCGGTCCTGGTTCACGAAAGGGCAGTAGGTCTTGCTGAAAAGCACCAACACGTCCTGCACAAAAGCCGGGTGTCTGGGTATCTGGAACCAAAGAGGCAGCACCCAAACCTCGAACAACAAAACCAACTTTGATTTAGGGTTCAGGGCTTAGGGTTTAGGTGTTGGGGATTGAATCCATTTAGGGGGTGAAGAACCACGAGGGGATCCCTGAGACCCAGCGATACCTTCCCAAGCCTTGTCAATCCCTCCACGAGGTCCTTCTGCTGTATCTGGCTGGTCACGAAAGCCTCTGTGAGCCGAACACCCCACACAATTGAGCTAGCAGGCCATTCAACCCTAAACCCCATAAACCCTAAATCAAGAAAACCCCAAACCCTGCACCTCCTCTAAACCCTAAGCTCACTAAAAGGTTTAGGGTTCAGGGTTTAAGCCAAGTGGCGTGATCGCCCATAGTCGCCGTCACTGTGGCAGCCTCAGCACTGTCTTCGGGAAAATCTTCACTAGCTCCGCCGTCAGAAGCGAATGCAAGGGTTGTGGGGTGTAGGGTTTAGGCTTCAGGGGAAGTTCCACGCAACAATAGGGACACAGCACGCACGATAGCCGCGCGTCCTAGACCCAAACTAACACAAACCCTAACCCCTTCCCCCCCGCACACACTGCCTAAACCCCAAGCCTCAAACCCCAAACCCTAAACCCAATAAACCCAATAAACCCAATAAACCCAATAAACCCAATAAACCCTACACCCAAAACCCTAAACCCCAATCCCCCCCTCCCCTACACTCCCTAAACCTCCCTAAGCTCCCTAAACCTCCCGAAGCTCCCTCAGCCTCGTAGCCAAAAACACCCCCCAAACCCCTCAAAAGCCCCTGAAAACCCCCCAAAATAGGCGAAGCCCTAAGATGACTCTATGCATCCTGGCTACTAAGCTGGGATCTGCTGAACAAGAATCTCTATGCGTATACTATATTCTATTGAAACGAGACAAGGGCTATGAGAGGGTACTAGCGGTAAACTCTAAGCCCTAAACCCCGCACTCTAGACCTGACATCTTGGCAGTTCGTTTGGCTCCACCCTAAACCCTGAAACCCTGAAACCCTGAAACCCTGAAACCCTGAGACCCTGAGACCCTGAAACCCTGAAACCCTGAAACCCTGAAACCCTAAACCCTGAACCCTAAACCCTAAGACAGGCTCTGGGCTTATGGCGGCCTGCTGGGCCTCTGCGGCTGCCGAGATCGTGACGACCTTGGCCTGGCGGTTGGGGTTTAGGGTTTGGGGTTTGGCGTTTGGGGTTTGGGGTTTTAGGGTTTAGGGTTTGGGGTTTAGGGTTTGGGGTTTAGGGTTTGGGGTTTCGGGTTTGGGGTTTAGGGTTCAGGGTTTTGGGTTTTGGGGTTTAGGGAAACCTCTCTTTTTGCGGACGGAACGGAGTCAGGGTGCTTAGGCAAAAACACATAAGAAAAAATAGATATACAACTAAGTATATATATATATATATACATTGTATCACGAATATGTATCTTATATATGATATACTCTATATGTCGAGCTCTGTTCCTATTCTATTTTTACTACATGGTATACTATCTGATCTGTCTTAAATACATGTGTGTCTCGGTGTGGCCTCTTCACACCCTAAACCGCTGAACCCCTAATCAAAGGGAACCGTGGCCAGTGCTGAGTCCTAGACGACTAGACGACCAGTTTGTGCGCCCTGCAAGATGTTGGGATCCGGGTTCAAGGGTTTAGGGGTTTAGGGGTTAAGGGCCTTCAGGGTTTTGCGGGTTCAGGGGTTCAGGGTTTAGGGGGTTCAGGGTTTAGGAGGTTCTGGGTTTAGAGGTTCAAGGTTGTGATTCTGCCAAAGGGGCCGCGCGTGGAGCGTATCCCAAGCTTTGCGTCGCTGCGGGAGGTGCGGTGATGGCCTTCGCGCTTGTTGCGAAAGGGGTTGAGGGCTATAGGCTTTAGGATACTGAAGAGGCTTTGGAGCTTGAGGTCCGAAGTTGTCCCCTAGGTGTTACGAGTAGGTTGTCTTGTTCTCTTGCGCCAATCTCAGAAGTAGTATGAAGTTGACAGATTTCGGAAGTTGGATTGGCGCCAAACTTGCCCTTAAAGGGCTCGAATTCACCAGGAAATCCCTATACTTTGTCATCCCTATTGCGGTTACTGAATGTCGGCTCCGTACGAGCAACCCAGAAGGTCCCCAACCCGCAAGCAATGCGTTTGCCTGTGTGAGTATGTTCTCCCACGCTCAGCTTCGCGCATTCCCAGCGGGCACCGAGGCCGGGATGTGAATCCTGAGCTGTCGCTCTTGCTGCTACGGTCGTTTGTGCTGCTGTTGTTTGTGCTGCTGTCACCATGGCATCCTATCCTAGTAGATTGGTTTCTATCATTAAGATGTTGGTTTGGTGAGCGCATACGATGTCAGTTTCTGATGGTTCAACCTCTGAGGGCCTGGGGCTTGCATATGTCGCAAAACTATGCAACGTATGCTTCGCCGGGCTCATTTCGCCCCACGCCCCCTACAAACACCACGTGGCACGGTGGCCAAACTTTATGCGAAAGTCTCGTCCCGACTCATCCTTCTTGCTGCACGTCAAGGTGAGGGTGATTCAGCAAAGGGGCACCGCCGGCTGAACTCCTGGTGGCGGCCGCACGTACTGAGTGGGATGCCTGATGCTGCAACGAGCTTCTTTCGGATTCTCTGAGTTCGGACGCGGATCGCATGAACCGGGCGTAAGTTTTACAGCTTTTCTCGGAGGAGCACATGAGATCCATGTTCAGATGGAACCTCCACATCCTTGGCTTCCCTTTCACCCTGCACCCTTCAAGATCTGCGCGCAATAAGAGTTCGTATTGCGATAGTTTGCCGAGCACGTCCCAAGACTCAAATCGCATCTACAACCTCGAAGCTTTCAGATGAGTATCGTTGGTCCCATGAGAAAGGGAGCCACCTTTCAACCAACTAGCGACTCTCAGCACACATGGAACTAAGTTTTCGATTGCGGGCTTTGGGGTCCTGAACCCTAAACCCGACAACTCCAGGTTCTGAAGGGTGTTGTAACCCTAAACCCTAAACCCTAAACCCTAAACCCTAAACCCTAAACCCTAAACCCTAAACCCTAAACCTGTGGGGGTCCTCTTGGGGTTGTTTGGTTGTTTTCGGTGTCCTGCGTTCGCGGTTGGACTCTGAGAGTTCAGGGTCGGGTCTGCCCGAATACACACTTAGAATGATATCAATACATAGTAACATCCTTATCTCTATATATATATGCTATATATATATATAAATGCTATATATATATATATACATATATGTGTATATACACAACATATATTTCCGATCGTGCCTGGTTGTCTTGACTGCCCTCATGATTATCAGGTAATGGTTGTCTTTATCACTTGTAAGGCTGGATGCTGTGCCACGAAGGGCTGCTGGGCCCCAGCGGCTGGAATCATGGCGTCTTGGCGGCCCGGAAGACAGCAGGCGCAATGAAAGCTCAACTCGTCAGCTGGAAAAATCCAGTATTCGGAGCGAGGAAGCAGACTCTGAGACACACTCCGAACACAACCCTAAAGCCCAACTTGCTTTCGGGCTAATAGGGCTGATAGGGTTTTGGGGTTTAGAGTTTAGGCTGAGAGTTTCGCACGAAACTTCTCAAATCTGGTAACTCTGCAGATAGGCGGTGCAAGCGAAATCTTGAAGCTGACAGCCGCGGGCCATGGGCGGTGCATTCTTGCGCAGTGTCGTGACCACAGTGGTGCCTAAGAATCGAACTTAGCAATGCAGGGTACACACCTAGATTTGTAGTGTCATGAATATTGACATGAACCCTACAAACCCTACCAATCATATTACTGCAATAAAACCCTGTTAACATCTAATAACCGTCTTAACTCTTTGACCATGTTAAACTCCTTTAACCCCATCAACACTAAAAGTCAGAATCGCCCCATTCACCACGTTAACCCTCTTAACCAGCTCTTGCAACAGTGAAGTTTAGGGTTTAGGGTTTATAGGGTTTAGGGTCCAAGGCTGCAGTCTCCAGCGCCTCTTTTGTCGAGCGATCTCTGCGACGAAGCCTGGTGACTCTGGGAAGTCACGGGTCACAGTGACTTTCTCGGAGGTTCGGGGGTAGTTCCAAGTGGGGTTCGGAGAGCCCTAAACGAAGGTTAGAACCAATCATGACAGTCCCTTGTACCCTACTTTATAACCCTGGTGTTGCATACCCATGAACCTCCAAGTACTCGTGCCTATGTACATGGAGAGGCTGCAAGGTCCGGAGGCCAGTAGACAACCCGATCCTGCAGCGCATCATCGCCTGGGCCGAGTTCTAGTACGAGTGGACGTCCTCGTCGAGGAAGGCTTGAGAAGGGCTTTTCAGTGCGCCACTTCACTTTTTGCGCCCTGCTGAGACGGCGCAGACTGGCCTGCAGCCCAGTTTTTCTGCCTAGGCCCCTTCAAAGGTACACAAGCGGACGCCCAAATTTTGGAAGCAGGAGACGGCAAGAATCAAGCCGGTCAACGCGAACAATACAAAACTGACTACCTGCCAGGCGAATCTGCGAACGATATGGACCCAAACTGCGCACTCGGAACTCAGAACCCGCCCTGAGCCCCAAACCCCAAAGGGTTTAGGGTTTAGGGTTTAGGGTTCTTCCTGGACTGAGCATCGAAATCAAGCCACTGAGGCTCGGGCTCTTGTAGGCTGCCACTGCTTGGAGCACTTCCTTCTCCCGAGCTGGGCGGAATAGGGTTTAGGGTTTAGGGTTTAGGGTGTAGGGTTTGGGATGGATGCATCAGACTATCGGGGTTGGCCTTTTGAATTGGACCATAAACCCTAAACCCTAAATGGGGGTGTACGAAAATGGGGTTACCCATTTTGGGGTCCTTATTACAAGGAAATCCTAGATTTTTTGGGTGCCCCTATTTTCGTAAACTTGCATTGATGCATAGAAGGGTTGTACGGGGATAGCTTTGGTAATTGACCGGTCTCAGATTCCCCGGTCTCAGATTCCCACTCGGTTGGCCCTTTCTAGAGGTGTTTGAGCTCTATACTTTTCACTTTTGCCTTAATTAGTGTGGTCCTCCTAAACCCAATGCGCAAGTTCACGACGGAACCTCGCCCAATATTTTGGATGTCGGGAGGACAGCATACTTGGAGGTTCATGGGTACTTAAGGCAGGGTAATGATTGCATTAACGCTATTTGCATTAATGCTATTTTGGGTACTTATCACGCTACTCATCTCTAAACCCTAAACCCAAAACCCCTGAAACCCTAACCCCTCGGGCGTCACCTGCCGAAGAGACTCGCGCAGCGCTGCCTGCCCCAGGCTTAGGGTTGAGGGTTTAGAGGTTCAAAATGTAAGGTTTAGGGTTTAGGGCTTAGGGCCTGTGCTGGTTGTTGGAAGCCGTCGCAACAGAACCCCTGTTACCGGGGCCGCCCCCGGCAAATGGAGAACATGTCACCTTTTGGCCATAAACCCTAAATCCTGAACCCTAAGCCCTAAACCCTAACCCCCAATGTGCTTGATCCCCATGAACCCCCAGTACCACCCCCTCAAGGCCCTTGCATACTCAAATCGTTTCGCGTACAATAACGAGGTACTACATGTTGCAGTCAAGCACCAGGTGCTTGGGCTCCAAAGGATTCGAAGACTGTTCAACTGAATGCTGCTGTTTTGTGCTGCCCTGCGCTCCTGCCTACAACCCCTTTGAAAACTTCTCAGACCTCAGCATCGCAGCGGGCCTCTGTAGGCAGCTGCGTGTAAGGATCCTTGACCTGAAAATAATTTTGGAAGAGACTCCTAGTTCATGGTTGGGATAGGATTAAAAAATTAGATTTCCATTCCTTATTGAGTTTAAGTACCTTTACCCTTAAATACGCCCCACTATGACAAAGTCTCTGGCTGTGACTGACCAGCTGAAGACAAAGTGTGTGATGCAGATTGCCCTGGAGATCAAAACGCTGATCAGGCGACACCAAAAATGCAGCCTAATCGAACGCAGTGGCTGTCATGGCTATGTGGGGATTCCCAACCTGAGGGTACCTATTTTGCCAATTCTTTGGGTCCTGATAAAAAGGGGATTGTAGCACACTTCGGGTTTGCTTTGTACCCTAGATCTGCACTCCAATCGCGAAAGTCAACATTCCGAGGCTCCCGACACCTAAACGGATGATCTCCCGCCGTAGCTCGATGAGCTCCAAGAGCAAGAGCCTTACTTGAAGGTTCATGGTTAGTTATGAGGATTTAGGGTTTAAGGTTTAGGGTTCAGGGTTCCATGAAGGTTCATGGGTGGTTATAAGTGGGGTAAGGCGTACCTTCAATAAGGTTAGTCGGAACATCAATAACTCACCCATTTGCGACTCTGCCTATATCTACCCATGAACCTTCAGGTAGAGGTTCAGAAGTTTAAGGAGGGTTCCGTGTGTCCGCGCAACTCCTCGGGTTTTGGAGTCAACAGCTACCCCGTGGTGTTCAGTGGGGGGGAGTCTAGGGTTTAGGCATTTGCAAGTGTCGACGGTCTGCAAAATGACGCTGCCACCTTAGGATGTTCCCCCTTATACTAACAGCCCTTGATAAGGATTATGGTAGCCCCTACTACAATCCCTGTTAAGGACTGTTAGTATAAGGGGGAAACATCCCAACTGCCACCCTCCAAACTCCCGGCCGAGAACGCTGCACGGAATGAAGGCGCAGGCGGACCGCCTTGTCTTGAGGAGATACGTCCAAAGATCGGAACACACAACGCATAGCAGAAT